AGACAGTTTGAGCAAATATGCAAAAAACTGCACCGACTGTAGCTTCAATTTCACACTTAAGATTACTATTAATATTAAAAATCATTCTTCCAATTTCTATCCAACATGTTTTCTGGTTTCATGTTGATATTTACTTTTGAATTGAATAAATGCTCCTCTTAATGTTGATGTGTGATGAAGTGGTGACGTTTCTGGTTGATATCCAGGAGAACATGCACATCAGAACTACTGTCTCTCTGCAGCACCGAGAGACATAATTAACATCTTAAAGTGAACAAACACAAATCTTCAGACTTCAAGAGATCTCTCCATATAACGAGGTAGAGCAGCAAATAATTTATTGACATGTGAATACATCTTTGGAATAGAATGAATTAAGTGCATCGTTGAAGGAGCTTAAAGTCGTTGAGCGTTAGTGCAAAACGTAGTCGGCTCTCGTGTTAAATGAAGCGACCACCTTTGACTGAACCTCAGTTAGTCTCTTCAGAAATGTCATCACCTTATTAGTGAAAGAGGGATGATTGTGGAACATGTTCTGTTCATTCATGTTCACTGTGCCAGAGTGGTGTGTGGCTTCCAAAATAAAAGACTGCTTCCTGTTTTCCTCAGCCAATTATTTATCAAATAAATGTGGATTTTGAAAATCACATTTTAAAAAAGTGCAAACATGCACATGTGTCTCGGTTTAGTGTGGATGTGTCTTTTATCTCCAGAGGACTCTGATGAAGCGGGTGGACTCGTGCTTTGTTTCGGGCTACTTATAGCAATAGGCGCCGTACAGGTGCTCCATCTGGTCGGGGAACCCAAAGGAGCGCACCCCCGCCTCGGGGACGCCGCCGCCGCAGTGCTCCCTGGGGCTGCGGATGGGAAACCGCACGCTGCCGTCTCTCAGCCAGCCGCCGTCACACCGGTCGTAGTCACGGAAACGCCAGGCGGAGTAAAGATGGCCGACCAGCGCCAGCTCGCCGCCCTGGCGTTGGCACGCGAGTCCGGCCTGGCGGAAGGAGAAGGGGCCCGGGACGTAGGAGACGGAGCCTGAGGGAGGAGGAGACGCATCGGGGGTTCAGGCCACCGGCAGCAGAGAACCCTCCCACTGATGTCCATCACATAGAACATAGAACAGTGCAACGGCCGCTCTGCTTCCTCAAGTCATACAAACATGTTGGTGTATCAGTGTTTCATGATGAAATGTCTGTCCTTGTCGTCCCTTTTTCTCTGCCGGACCGGTTTCCTCTCCCTGCAGCCTCAGGAATGGTGTCTCAATAACCAGATTTATTGTCCTCAACCCACAATCAACCCACAACACTGGAGCTACCGAAGGTCAAATCGCTGCTGCAGAGTTGGCGATAAAAATGGAAACATCTTTTGTTCATTGTATCCGTTTTTAGACCCATTTTTCAGAATCAGACTCTCGCTCCAGTCGGCTTCCATCGGACGTTTTGGTGAAACGAGGCCGCTCGCAGCTTACCGGACGTCAGCGAGGTGAAGCAGAAGGCGTCGAATCGATCCTGCGTCTTATCCTTCGGCCCGTAGCTGCGAATGCCGGGCAGCAGGTCTCCTCCGCAGGCCGGCCGCGGGCGGATGATGGGGTAATGAACGGTGCCGTCGTGGAGCCAGCCGGCGTTGCACCAGTCCAGGCCCTCCGTCCACGCTGCAACCAGGAGACACGCTGCTTAACAGAGAGCCGGCGGGCCGGCGGGAATCACGGGGCAGGTCGGGCGGTACCTCGGTACAGCTGGCCGAACGAGGCTAAAGTGGCGTCCTGCTGAGCACAGGCCTCCTCAGCCTCGTGGAACGTGAGTCTGTAGCGGCCACTTCCACTCTGGTACGGGAACACCACACCTGGGGGGGAGACGTCTGTCAGGGGGGCTCGTTCACTTTACTTGGAATCAAAGACGTGATCCACAACCCAAAACCGCCGTCTTCCATCAAATCAAATGCCGTCATGAACCGAAGGTTAGGAGACGAAACCAGTGATAGTCTTTCAGTTTGACCGGTTGAGAAGACTCTGGGCTTCTTATTGCTTCAATTAACTGTTGGAATATTGATGTGATTAAACACAATAGTGCGCTGATTCTGGCAATCAAATGTTGCTTTCATTGTTCATATTCATCCATAAGCTATTTGTTAGCTAACCTTTGAGCTTGGTTTGGTTTTATTGGGTTTGTTCTCCTTCTTCTCACAAACATTCATCATTATGATTACGTGGATTAAATACAGATTGATTTTTGTGGGATATCAATGAATTATGAAACATTTATTCTTGTAAGTGGCCACAAAACCAGCAGTTGGGTTTCGGAAACAAAACCAATGCAATGAAACCACATTGGTTAAAAGCCTTCTGGTCCTCACGTCATTCACCACCAATCAGGCTCCTGAATTACTTTCCACCCCCATTGTTTCTGTCATGAGGAACATGAAAAAAAAAACGCCACGCACGCCAGAACAACCCAACGCATGCCGCCTGCCCCATTGGGCGCTGGAATATGGCGACTTACCTTCAATCCTCAACGTTATGACCACACTCTCGTCCTCGATGCCGTAGACCAGCTCGCAGCGATACGTGCCGCCATCCTCCAGCTCAAGGCCGCGGAGCTGCAGGGAGGCGTCCATGGCGTGCGCCTTGGAGAGGGCGGCCCGCCCGCCAAGGCGGCCGTAGGGCTTGAAGGCGTGCGCGTTGGATACCATGACGACGTCCTCCCGACCCACGCGCTGCGGCTCCAGCTTGGTCCATTTCACTTTGTACTGGCTGGGCTTGGCTCTCAGGATACACGGCAGGGTGGCGTTTTCGCCCCTCCGGGCGACGACGTCGGCGTGCAGCAGCGTCTCCAGGAGGTACTTCAGCTTCTTGGGTCCTGCTTGTGAAACAGGATCCAGGAGGCGTCAGTGGAGGGAATGAGTCCTAAAACCTGGATACCAGTCAGCGCTCTTCCACATCTCCGCTGTGACTTGAGCCTTTCGGTTTAAACTCTATTTCGTCTGAAAAACGCCTGGTCAATCGCGGCGTTAAGTGGGTGCGTTTGTTTACCAAAACCTCCTTCATCGTCTTTCCCGTACCGTCTCTGTTGGAGGAGTAGATAGCCGAAGACCAGGCAAAGCAGCTGGCCGTAAACAGAAGAACCACGGCGAAGTTCATCATGAAGGGAGTCCTTCTTCTCTCTCTCAGCTCCTGCAGCTCACAAGAAGAAGCACATCTCACTTAAGACGCCCGTCCTGTTTGGGGCATCAAACCATCGCGCGTGTCTTTGTTCTCACGTTCACGCAGAGAGAAATTTCTATGTCGGCGTACAAATCAATATTGCAAAAGTAAGAGAAATAGTTCAAAACCTGTGACGTGAAGAAGTGTGATCATCGTCCTGCGTCGTCCCACATGAGGAAGACGTCTTCAAAGCTTCTGGACTTCCTCATTAACTCCTGACTTCTGGGAGTCAAGTCCTCGTTGCTGTTGGCTCTTCAGTCCGCAGCCGTGAATGTTCAGCAGCTGTCGTACCCGCAGGATCTCTGCCCCCCCCCCCCTCACGCTCGCATCCTCACTGTGGTCATATGGTCCAGTCTGTTGACGGCCAGATGAAAGTGCGACAGGGTCCCTTTGTCTTCTTTCTCCTCATTTAGAGACATGAACATGACTCCCACTGGTGGCCTACATGTGACCCAAACCCTATTTCACACTTTCCCCTCTTACTGCTGTATTGGAAGTGAAGCTGAAGATCCTCTCCTGCGCGTACCTGGACCAGGAAGCACTTATTAGCACTCACCTTCAGCTCTTTGTACTCTGGACTCTGGGTCCCGAACCCTCTTGGTTGGATTTCACTCATAGTCGCTTTGGGTAAAAGCCTCAGCTGAATGATGTGAATGTGAACTGCGTTCTCTGCACTGTCCACCAGGGGGCGACTCCTCTGGTCCCATAGACGTCCATGAGAAAACGGCCCCTCTCTTGATTTAAACATTGTAAACACGAGTCTACACCAAACAGCATGATGTTCATGTAGCAAATGATTTACAGCCAGACGGATGAAGCAATGTGGGCTCTTTGCTTTTGTTCCACAGCCATACTGGGAGATTGCATGTTGCATTGGTGCGTGACAGCAAAGGCAGTGATTTAGATTAAGGCAGATGACGAGGTTAGTTCAACACAAATCAACGTGTTTGCCACAGACTCTAATATCCCGTAACAAGAGGAATGAATGTTCAATGGGCTCCAACAGCTGCTGCTGTCGGACGACATCACCTGGACAAACCTGCCTGTGTTTCCTTTCCCAGAAGGCCGCTGCCAACGAGGACTGTGGCGTTCATTCAGCCGTCTCCGCTGCCCACGCGGCTCCGGGGGCGGCGGCGGCGGCGAGGAAGCCGGGTCGGCTCTGGTTTCCTCTGCCGCGGCGGCACAAGGGCCGCATTGTGGCGTCCGCAGTGACGGCGGGCGGCCGGTCACACAAACGCCGTCCCATGCGGAAACAAAGAGGAAATAATGGGATTCTTCTGTTTTCTTTGCTGGTGTGGCCTCTCCATTGTGCTCCGTCGTCAATGGGGCTCTTTCTTGCCCTCCAATTAGTACTCAGCCAAACACCTCTAGCTGAAAATCCCAAGCGTCTCCGTCAGCTGCATATGAAGAACATTGCTTTATTAATTGCACATTTGAAACACCCGCAAATCACGGAATACACCACATTTAATATGGTTCATAATGAGATGCACTGCAAAATCTAAAACCCTGCAAAGAGCATAGAATAACATTTGAGGAGAACTTGAACGTGAATATTATGCCGTCTTTTCAGAACAGGGGGAGTTTTTCTGGACTTTCGCACCAGGATTTAAGTCCTTCAATGAGCTTGTTGGACGTGGAGACGAGTGTGATCGCCGACGTGGAGCCCTCGTAGTCCGAAACGATACGAATTCTCCTTCTTTTCAACATCGACAGAGGCAGTGCAGCCCGGATAAACCTCCCGCGATCTTAACTTTCACAATAAAAGCCCTCTAAATATGCACGGTGTAAATGTTTACCAGAACTAAAGAGAAACAAACTGTTCATTGCATTGAGATTTGAGAGCGCGTTTCCGTTTTTAGAGAGGCGAGTCATTTGTTATCGTGCATTGATCTCCTCGTGCTCCTCCTCTCTGGGTAACTGCAGGTGAACCCTCTCGCCCCCTGCAGCGCTGCATTGACGGATGGCTTTGTGCTTCGCCGTAAGTGAACCCCTGAAGCTGTGAATCAATCACGAGTATTTCGTTCTGATGTCTGTTCATCCTGTTTCGATCCTGTGAGTCGTGAGACAGAAACTCTCTCGGCACATCTGCCCAAAAGAGCCATCTTGAATGCCCCCCCCCCGTTCCTCAGATGAGTGAGGCCGATACGGGGGCCTGTCGGCCCTGATCGAGTATCAGCTTGCGTGTCTCTGCAGATAGAAAAAGCGTGACAGGCTCATGAAGGTCCCGTGGGTTAAAAGTATGTACGTTCTGACAGCTCTTGCACCACTGTGAAGCCCCCCCCCCCCCCCCCATGCAGGTACTGCAGGTACTTCTTTGTTGTCCGTGCAACACAAGTGTTTAGCGAGTCTAAATTTCACCTTTGACCCCTTCGTTGTGCAGCAAACAGCGTCCTGCATTCCTCTCCTCAGACGCACAGGGACGTGGAGACGAAGACGCCCCCCCCGGCCGCCGTACCTTTCATCCTGTCACGCTATGAATGCTGGGTAACCTTGAGCGCCAGCTGAGGGGTTCTAGCGCGTTGGTTTAGAGGGAACACCATCCAACGTTCACGTCCAACAGAACCCAACCGGCTTTCTACGGTCCCGCAAACCCACGAGACACGCGTGTGTTTCTGCGTGTATGTGAATGTGTTTAAATGTTACTGTACATTCACCCGTGACATAAGACGCCACGATTCACTTTGGTTTGGCAACAAAACCTTTTTAAGGTTAGAAAAAAACATCCTGTTTGTGTACAAGAAGCAACCTAATAATGTCATGTTACCACCAAAACAAGAGACATCCGCCGCTGCCACGTGGTCGCGCCCTACGCCGACCCTTCCACGGTCATGTGACTCATGCTCGTCACTGAGTTCACTTCATAAGCGCTCAAAGAAAACTGCTCGCTTCTTCCTTTTAGGACACAAAGCGAATAACGAATGTGAGAGAAAGACACAAACAAACGAGCGAACCTTTGTCCTTTTGACCTCGACGTGCGGCGGCTGACGGAGGAACTCGAGGCTCTTACCGGTCGAGTGGTGTTTGTAGCATGTGACAGTCACACAGGTAGATATGGATCTGAGGGCGGAGCCACGGCAAACACACATCTGCATTCCTCACCTGTCTCAGCCTGCAGGGGCGAAAAAAGAAAGATATTTCATCTCATAAACGTTAAGTCTAATAATGTAAATGGTAAATGGACTGTACTTGTATAGAGCTTTTCTAGTCTTCCGCCCACTCAAAGCGCTTTAACACTACATGACATCATTCACCCATTCACACCCATTCACACCCATTCACACCCATTCACACACTGATGACAGGAGAACCGCACACAGTGACACCTGCCATCAGTAACTAACATCCACACGCTGTAGTCGCAGATACAGGAGCCATGTTGCGTTAAGCGTCTTGCCCAAGGACACATCGACATGCGGGCATGCGGACATGCGGGCCTGGGATCGAACCCACAACCCTCTGATTGGAGGACGACCTGCTCCCCCACAGTGTGCACACGTAGACGGGTGAGACAGATGCTGGTTTCTGCAAAACAGAAATTCTTCCTTATTTTAGTCGTTTTTTATTGAGACAAAAGGTTCATAGTAGAAACATCATCATTTGGCCACAAGTTGTCACATCACATCACCGTGTCTCAAAAATAAACACACACAGTTTTCACAGTAAGTGAAGGAATGTTCGGATTCGGGGATAAAAGTGCTATTGTTGCACACACACACACACGCACACGCACGCACGCACACGCACACGCACGCACGCACACACACACACATGCACACACACACACACGTGCACACGCGCGCACGCGCGCACGCACACGCACACACGCACACACACGCACACGCACTCGCACACACACACACACACACACACACGCTTGTTTATTGTGAAATACCTGTTGAGCCTCCTGAAGTGTGGTGTCTTAGTGTTAAGCAGCAGGCAGGTGCAGACGTGCGTTTATCTCCACTCATCTGGTGCCAGACCCCCCCCCCCCCTCCCTCCCTCCCCCCGTCCCCCCCCGTTACCCCCCCCGCTGGCAGCCTCGGATCGGGAGATCAGATCTGCTGATAGAGGCAAAAAGAAAGAAAGACTTCTGCAAAAGTATGAGAACTCACGAAGCAACCTCCCCATGCAAGAGTTCTGTTATTATATCTATTATATGCGTATCTAGAATCTAGAATCTAGATGTCTAGACGTCGATGAGGAAACGACTCCACTTCTCTCTGGATCTGTTCCCTCAGTGAACGTCGTAAACATGAGTTCATGGTTCTTCATACAGCGTGATGTTCATGTAGTAGATGATGGGCCATGTAGAGTCCAACAGGGGACGCTTTAGGGCGGGGCTACGCGCTGATTGACAGGTCGATCCCGAGCACGTTGCCGTGTTTCGGTGCTGAAGTGAATACCGAATAAACAGGTCGTATCTGTGGTGTTAAATCCAGAAGTCTTAAATCCGCTGGAAAATAAACAGTTGAAGTTGTCGGACACTTTGATCTAAACGTGATCTTTGGATTTTAAGACGTTGTGTTTGGATTCGGTTCGATTCATTTCAGCTCCACTTAAACTCTTATTGTGGAAACACGTTAAGCCGTTCCACTAGTGGGCACATGTGTGCCTTCTAAAGAATGCTCTTAATGAAAGCGATTTGAATCTACACAGCAGCCCCCCCCCCCAACCCCCTCCCCACCTGCACAGGAATCATTTACGCTGCAAGTTAAAGCATTTGAGGAATTGTTGAGGAATCTATCTGCATCTGTGAGTGTGTGAATGACGGCGCTTTGTGCTTCACGGGACAGGAAGCAGCGCAAAGTCATGTGGATGTTGTTGCATAACTAATAGAGAGGGAGGGGGGGGCTCACATGTTGTGAGGAGGAATGTGAAGAGAAATGACGGACATCAAGGTTTGTATCTCTCTTCACTTCTTTACACTCACATTCAACTGAGAGGCCAAAGGTCATTGTCTTCACCTGTTGCCTCTCAGTTACCTCACCCGCACCGCCCCTCAGGGCCCCTCCAGCAGCGGCCGGCCCGGGAGGGGGGGGGGGGGGGGGGGTCGGCGTGTGAACCTCGGCCTGTTGACTCAGGCGTAACTGTCGAGACGAAGCCACGAGGAACAAGAGGAGCTCCGCAGAACGGACCTCGTGGTGATGTCATCGATGGGACTACAATCAGGCTCCGCCTCCAGGAGCCACACGGTTCAGTGTGCAGGAACGCCGCTCCTACCTGGTCAAATACAGGTGTTTCTCACCACCTACAAAGCCCTGAACCACCGGGCCCCTCCCTGCCCCCCCCACGCCCCGACCTGGTGCCTCCGTGTGTGTGTGTGTGTGTGTGTGTGTGTGTGTAGGAGTACACTACAGTGTGTGTGTGTGTGTGTGTGGGAGTACACTACAGTGTGTGTGTGTGTGTGTGTGTGGGAGTACACTACAGTGTGTGTGTGTGTGTGTGTGTGTGTGTGTGTGTGTGTGTGTGTGTGTGTGTGTTGATGCTGTTGTTGGGTTGGACGTGTTTAAATGTGAATAAACCGCTGAATTAAAAGCTTATTCATGATTCATCGGTCACAGGACGCAGCGAGGCCTCCTCCTCGCCGGCAGGAAGCGGAGCAGACGTTTGTCTCTTTGACGCCTCGTGATGGTTTTGATAGTTTAGATTCTCCTGGAATCACAACAACATTCCTGCCTCTCTGAAGAAGACGAGGCTCCGTCTCCACTGATGGAGGACGAAGATACGTTTGTGACTGTGAGCGGTTATCAGCAGGAGGAAGAGGCGCGGAGCGCGAGGCCCCTTCTCCCCAGCCCCGCCCTCCGCTCAGAGGCCACGCCCCTTCCCTTCTCTGTTGCCTCGCAGGTTGAGGCCCTCCGTCCTGCCGGAGACGTCGTGCCGTCCTTAACGGCACCGACAGCGGAGCATCTGAGCGGTTTCCTGCTCCCCGACTGCAAAGAATCCAACGGAATTCGTAGACATTCCACTAAAGTTGATCCCATAAAAAAACTGTCATTTGACAGCAGAATGTTCTGACCTCTAGATGTGAGCTTTATGATGTTAATTTAACACCTATTCATTCATTGCTTTTTGAACTTAAGTAAAAAGAAATGATTTGTAGAATATCTGTCTGGTCTCAGGCGCATTATTGCCTGTTAAACACGAGCAGGCAGTGATGCAGCTGTGAAAATGTGGTTTGAGTGGATGATCAATTTCTGCGACTTTCACCTGAACTCGAGTGGATCTGGAGAGTTCCTTTCATATACTTATTATAATTAATTATCAGTGGTTCCTGGTGTATAAAAATGAGCTAAAGAGCTTCAGTCCACCTTAAAAAGTCCCGCAGTGAGGGGGCGGGGCTTACCGTGAGGTGGGTCCGGTAGGTGTGACCCAGTGAGAACACACGTAAAACCGGCTCTGCTGTCTGCTAGCGAGCTTCTTCTTCTTCTTCTTCTTCACACACAGCAGCCGGCTGGCTCTGCAGCGAGGACCCTCCGGCGTGTGTGTGTGTGACAGACAGATCTCGTCGCGCCGGCTCTTTAAAAGCTCCTCTCTCGTCGCCTCCCCCCCCCAGGCAGGAACCCACCATGACGGACGTGGCCACCAACATGCGGCTCAAGCTGCCGATCGCCTGCTTCATCCTGCAGATCATCCTCATCATCCTCTTCGGCGTCCTGGTGGAGTACGACCACGACACGGACGCCCGGCTATGGCACAGCAAGAACCACTCCGACTACGAGAACGACTTCTACTACCGCTACCCGAGTGAGTGACTGAGGGTCAGGGTCAGAGGTCACAGGGAGGCCACGGCCCCCCAGTCTGAAGTGACTTGCTGTAGACGAAAGGTTGCGTGTGGAGAACTTAAAATGATGAGTCCAATCCGGCAAACTGTAAACTATTGTTGGGACGTCAAATACAACCCTCATAATGTCATTCTACCGCTTCTTTACACACACAGCGACATGATCAAGTTAGAAATAGTTTTTAACTACGTTCAAATGTTCCTTAATTAAAGGAAATGTAGGGACAGCTTGTGGTTGTGTTCACACGGGACACACTATGAATATAATATCAAATATCAACTGTGCGCGAGTTACGATTTTAAAAAGCTGAACAAACGTGTCAACACATTTTGGGAAATCTCGTGCAGCGTTGAAGAATAATCCCATTTACTATTTTTTCTTCCTCACGATGGACAGGCCTCTGGACCTCATCCAGGGTCCTTTTTGTCCTCCTCTGGCGTCCCCTAATTGGAACATGTCCCCTTCTTTCCCAGCAAACATTTGCTGGAGATGTCTTCCAGTCCGCTGCCCTCCAATGGAGGCCGATGCATTGATCGCTAATGTCCTGATTGATGGTGTAGAAACAAAAGGCCGCTAAACGCTCATTACCGCTTCCATCAAACCTCTTCCACCACTTCAAATGGCTTCATGGCCACTGAGTGTGTGTGAAAGATCTAATAGACACGATCTTACTTCTGTTTGCATTACAAAAACGTATATGTTTTGATTGATTACCTCCACGGCTGGGGGGCGTGTCCTAACCTGTCAGACACAGTTTGAGGTTACCTGGCGTCGCCCTCTCGCAGGTGTGTGTGTGTGTGTGTGTGTGTGTGTGTGTGTGTGTGTGTGTGTGTGTGTGTGTGTGTGTGTGTGTGTGTCTCGGGGGGAGCAGAGTCACTTAACATTGTTTGAATCTCTAACCTGCGGTTTGAATGCCGCCTTCGTGTTGATGCGTCAAACTCTCTGCAAAGCTCCTCTCTGGATTAACTAATGTTTGGTTCATCAGTCATATTTTGGACGCTTTGTCCGTCCAGACAGAAAAAACATTTCTGTTCCCCAGAGGACAAACCCCACTGTGTTGGGCGATCGCCTCCCTTTCATCCAGCGCACTTCTTTTTACTACCAATTACCTGCAAAACCAGTAACATCAGCCTCAGCTGTACTACGTGTTTTAACGTTAGCAGGCTGCTACGGTAAAACGTGGCTAACCAGACACCTTGCGGCAACGTTGCGGCCACTAGTTAGCATGCTAATGCTAGTGTTCGGCGCCACGCATCGCCGTGCAAAACTCCCACAGAGCAGTTTGCACCGTTTCCTGTTTAGTAGCTGGTGATATATAAACTACACTATTTCGGGGAGGTCAGACAAAGGTCGGCGTCAAAGGCGACCGATGTTGACAGTTGGTGGAAGACGGAACGTGTCATTGTCCCGACATTTACGCCCCCAGCTACCTCAAGGCGCATCCTCATCACACCTGTCGTCATGGGGCCAAGAGATAAACACTTTCATGTTTCAGCGCCTTGTTTACGCAACCTCCATCCTCCGTCTTCACTGGAAAAGAACAATCTGCAGGTCATCGGCGGGGCGGCGGTGACTCCGCCCCCCTGCTGGCGGTAGCATAGCATCGGTGTTGTCGCCCCGAAAGGCTCCTCTGAGATAAGGGTGTTGTTTCAACTGAAAATATGTCTCCCTCATACGGGTCCCCCGGGAGCTGGTTGCGTCCTGGTTTACATTCGATCTACTACCAGGTTCTTTATTTTTGTGATAAATGGAGGACTATTCCTTTAAAGAGACGCAGCTAAGACGTCTTTACACAGATTTGAATGGAAAGCGGGTTAAGATGATCTCAATAATCTTCAAGTGGTTTTATAAACCTAAATGTAAATTTAAATCAAATAGAGATTTGAGAAAAATGCATTGATTGAAAGTTGTCAAAATTAATCTGGACGGATTCATCTTTATTTTCACTATTTCCCACTTTCATTTTGTGAAAATTCACGGCCTCAAAAAAACGTCACAAAACTCCCGGGGGGCATCGGCGAGACATCCGACCAACCTGCGGCGAAGGACCGTTGCCCCGGCAACGACAAAACACAACGCAGCGTTGGCTGTGCGCCAGCTCGGGACGAACGGGCGTCTGTGAGATTGTCCGTCCTCTCCCGCTCGACGGCGTCCGGTGGCGTTGCGGTGGTGAGAGAGGAATGCACGGCCGGTGGAGGAGGACCGGCGCGGGTCGGGGTCCCGGCTTATGTAACTGTGCTCGTTCACTGTTCTCAGTGACAAGGCCTCTCGTGACCCGGCTGCTGGCCGTCATCGGGTGTGTTTGTTGATGGGGGGCCTTTGAGGAGCTGATAATACGAGGTCGCTCTAAATGAATCGCGTCCTCGCTGAACTGCTCTCGGCACTCGGGCAAAAGGTTCTTCACAGAAAAAGTATGAATGGACCTTTTAACGATTCGATGGTTTATTGTTTTCATCACAGCTCATTTAGCTGAGGCTTTTATCCAAAGCGATATTTACATTCTTGCCTTGTGGAACTGGAATTTAAGCTGCAGCCAAAACTAAGCCAAACACACATATAATGAAACTGGTAAACATGTTATAGGTTTCCAGGACGTGCACGTGATGATCTTCATCGGTTTCGGCTTCCTCATGACCTTCCTGCAGCGCTACGGCTTCAGCAGCGTGGGCTTCAACTTCCTGATTGCGGCCTTCTCGCTGCAGTGGGCCACGCTCATGCAGGGCTTCTTCCACGGCATGCATGAAGGCAAGATCCACATCGGGGTGTTGAGGTACGTGAAAAATCACACGGGTCATGTATAAACATGTATACGCTTTGTTGGACAAGGTGAACCAAAGACAATAATTGACCGTCAATTTTTTTGGGAGCCTCAAAACTTCCCATTGAGTCAAACATCTGAACACACGGTTCTCTTTGTGGAAGCCCTGCACACGATACTCCAGTGACGTTTCCACTCAAACGCCTTCTTCTTTCAGCATGATCAATGCAGATTTCTGCACCGGCTCCGTGCTCATCTCATTCGGAGCCGTTCTGGGTAAAACCAGTCCATTCCAGTTGCTGGTCATGGCCATTTTTGAGGTCACGCTGTTTTCTGTCAACGAGTTCGTCCTGGTAACTGCCCTGGGGGTAAGCTACAAATAAACAGACCTACCATAGGGGTAATTAGCTGAAGATTGTGTGATCTGTAAAACTGCCCCCAAAGAACTGATCACGACCAGAGACAATAAAAATATCACCTCACATTCTGGGTTTTTAAAGCACATTGTGGGTAACTCTGTTGCAGGCTAGAGACGCGGGAGGCTCCATGACCATCCACACATTTGGAGCCTACTTCGGCCTCATGGTGACCCGAGTCCTGTACCGACCCAACTTGAATAAGAGCAAACACAGGAACAGCTCGGTGTACCATTCAGACCTGTTCGCCATGATCGGTAAACACCTTTCAGAGCTGCTTCTATTGTCCACAGGAGCAAATCCTTCTGCTTCCGTCCACTGTCCCACCGTTGTTCAACAATTCGTAGGACCTTTTTAATTTACCCTTAAAGCATGAATCAGCTAAATAGGACTTCCCAATATTAGATCGTTCTTCATCCTCTTTGCTTTTCTTCGTCAACATGTTGGATGCAGTTTGCGGTGAATTTGTAACGAACCGACCGAATGCCGCCGTGCCTCCTCAGGTACCATCTACCTGTGGATGTTCTGGCCCAGCTTCAACTCGGCCATCACGGCCCAGGGCGACGACCAGCACCGCACGGCCATGAACACCTACTACTCCCTGGCTGCCTGCACTCTGTCCACCTACGGCATGTCCGCCCTCACGGCGCACGACGGCAAGCTGGACATGGTGAGAAATAAAGTCCACAGACTCCCTCCAGACAGGAACGCAAAAGAGAGAAGCGTTTTGGTGGCGTCTTGAATTCCCGTCGGCAAAAAAACTCCCTTCAGAGCTGAAGGGTAAATCCCCTGAAGACATCGAACCCGAGACCGAAGTCCCACGCAGGTTGGAGCAGTCTCAGCTGTCAGCAATCAATCATCCAGATATCAAGATGGAACATTCCAGTGCAGATAGTGATCGAACCCCAACAGAGAGGAGAGGATAACGTGTGTTGATAGCAGGGAGAAGCTCACCAGCTGCGGTTTATAATACACAAGATGAGGGCGAGCACAGAGAATATATTTGATCATTTATATGATTAAATGATCGAGATGGAAATTTGAGTTAAATGGTTTGTATTCTCACACTTATCCAAACAAACACGCATTCATAGTCGATTGAAAAAGAGTTTCTTTAACAGCCTAAAACAGTCCGGCCTGATCTGTGATCGGTCTGATTGGTCGTTTCTTACTACGTCACTGCAGAGCGTCAAAGTATGAATCCCAATCAATACACACTGTGCAATGTTACAGCTTTTATTAAAACATCTGAGTTTTACTTTAGTTCTTTAGTGAAGCTCCATGAGGCAAAGCTGCATTCTGTGTAGTGACCAGCAGGGGGCGACTCCTCTGCTCCCATAGACGTCTATGAGGAAATGACTCTACTTCTCTGTAGTGACCAGCAGGGGGCGACTCCTCTGCTCCCATAGACGTCTATGAGGAAATGACTCTACTTCTCTGTAGTGACCAGCAGGGGGCGACTCCTCTGCTCCCATAGACGTCTATGAGGAAATGACTCTACTTCTCTGTAGTGACCAGCAGGGGGCGACTCCTCTGCTCCCATAGACGTCTATGAGGAAATGACTCTACTTCTCTGTAGTGACCAGCAGGGGGCGACTCCTCTGCTCCCATGGACGTCTATGAGGAAATGACTCTACTTCTCTGTAGTGACCAGCAGGGGGCGACTCCTCTGCTCCCATAGACGTCTATGAGGAAATGACTCTACTTCTCTGTAGTGACCAGCAGGGGGCGACTCCTCTGCTCCCATGGACGTCTATGAGGAAATGACTCTACTTCTCTGTAGTGACCAGCAGGGGGCGACTCCTCTGCTCCCATAGACGTCTATGAGGAAATGACTCTACTTCTCTGTAGTGACCAGCAGGGGGCGACTCCTCTGCTCCCATGGACGTCTATGAGGAAATGACTCTACTTCTCTGTAGTGACCAGCAGGGGGCGACTCCTCTGCTCCCATAGACGTCTATGAGGAAATGACTCTACTTCTCTGTAGTGACCAGCAGGGGGCGACTCCTCTGCTCCCATAGACGTCTATGAGGAAATGACTCTACTTCTCGGTAGTGACCAGCAGGGGGCGACTCCTCTGCTCCCATAGACGTCTATGAGGAAATGACTCTACTTCTCTGTAGTGACCAGCAGGGGGCGACTCCTCTGCTCCCATAGACGTCTATGAGGAAATGACTCTACTTCTCTCTTGATTAATTCCCTCAGTAAACATGAGTCTATGGCCTCATAGTGATGGTCATTTAGTAAACGTTGAGTCAAACAGACTTTCAATTATGTTTCTTTTCACAAAGGGGACCTTTAGCGGGGAGATGAGTCCTGACCATGAGAGGCTTTGGTTACAGGATCAAGGTGTACTTCACTGATGGGCCGCGTGGTTTCCTCTCTCCAGGTGCACATCCAGAATGCCGCTCTGGCCGGGGGAGTCGCAGCAGGAACGCCCGTGAAATAATGTAACCCCTTACGGCTTCCTTGATTGTCGGCTTTCCTGGCCGGCATCATCTCCGTCTGGGGCTTCAAGTCCCTCTCAGAAAAGGTACCTCCAGTTACGAGGATAAGGGGGGTTCCAGGGGTGGGGGGGGGGGGGCGGCGGCGGCGGCAAGAGGGGCAGCGAGTAGAGGGGTTAGAGACCTTAAACTGCACTTAAAATAATATACAGATGTGAAATATCAAATATGTTACATCACATGTCGTTTAGCGGACGCTTTTATCAGAAGGGACTTACAATAAGTTAATTTATACCATAATGAGTCAACAGAATGCACCTGTTTGAATGAATATCACGAAAAGTTTGAATAAATCTAAATCATATGCACAATATTTTATTTAAATTAATGTGTTAATAGTCTCCACAGTTACCCAAAAGACCCACCTCGTCTCTTCTTCTTCCCTCAGCCCGTCCTGGAGAACAAACTGAAGATCCAGGACACCTGTGGAGTCCACAACCTGCACGGCATGCCCGGCGTCCTGGGCGCCATCGTGGGGGCGGTCACTGCTGCCGTGGCAACCACAGACGTCTACGGGAGAGGGTGAATATCTCATATTGACCCTGAGGAAGACCCGGGGTCCCTGCGCCCCTTCGTCCTTCCACCCCTCTGTCCTCTCCGTCCCGGTAATTACTTCCTGTCGTCTGCCTCAGGATGAAAGACGTCTTCCCCGACGTGGCGAGCGGTGACATCACCGCGTCCTACCAGGGCCTCGTGCAGGCCATCTCCCTCGCCGTCACCCTGGGCATGGCCTTGCTGGGGGGGCTCATTGTCGGTAAGTGTCCCCTCTTCCTCAGCTAGTCCCAGTTAGTTTTTACAGAGATTATCACCATGAAAATTCACCAGTTCCTCACTGCATTAAGAGGAGCATTTATTGAATTGCACGTTTTATAAAATGTGATGTCTTAATATGCAAATGAGGCTTCATGAAATAGTAACGTTTGGTGAATTTAGGAGAAATCTACAGACAGAAACAGGCAAAGTCGGATAAGTCGGAAGTATAAATGTAAAATATAACATTTGTATTTTGTAGATTTTCTTCCCACTGGTCTGAAAGAATGAATATCACACAAGACAAACATTTCATCCACTTGAAGAAATTTGTGTGAAGGAATCTTCTCTCTGTGAAGATGTTTTCTGCGTCAACCACTCGTTAACTGTTTAGTCTTCTTGAAGATATGAACCGCCTTCGTTCTCCTCTCAGGTTTCATCTTGAAGCTCCCCGTGTTCGGAGCTCCTTCTGACTCCATCTGCTACGAGGACAACGTCTACTGGGAGGTGAGTCGCTGTGACTTTATATATATATATATATATATATATATATATATATATATATATATATATATATATTTATTTATTTATTTATTTATCAGTCACAACTGTTTTTTGACATTTCTTGCTCGGCACAACAGACAAAGAGCAGAACCGTGACTCATTATTCATTTGGCTTTAAATTAATATCCCACATAGTGCTTATAATAAACGGTTGCCTTCGTACTTAACAGGGACGATTTATTTTCTAATGTCTTCCACACAGACGTCTACAGGAAACAGACGTGTCCTTTGGTAGCTTATTTCTTATTAGGGAAACATTTAAAAAAATGTAATGAGCACCAAACGTTTTTTTTTAGTTGTGACCACGTGTTTCCGCTCTGTGGTTTCCTGGAAAGGGGCGTGGCATATCAATCAATCAATTATAAGCAGAATACAAATAGCGCTCAATAAAGCATCACATGACACATAACGACCTCCAGGGGGCGCCGCCCCGCTGAGCTTCATCGGGCCGGGGGAGACGGGCTGGTGTGACCCCCCTGATGACGTCATTGAGATCTCCCCACAATGCAACGTGCAGCATCTTACTTCTGTTTCTCGCTCGATAGATCTATTTATAGTAGAATATGACGATTTTCAGCAGGCTTTTGTCTCAGAATTAACAATGAATAATAATGTGCACGTGTGAAAAGACACAACGCCATCGCGCTCAGGCGGGAAGAAGGAAGGATGCAAAGAAACGGGTCACGGAAGTGCACTCAAGTGTGTGTGTGTGTGTGTGTGTGTGTGTGTGTGTGTCTGTGTGCGCGTGTGTGTGTCTGTGTGTGTGTCAGGTACCGGGAGAGGAGGATCACGAGGAGCAGCTGACTGCCGTGCACGCCGCGGAGGCCGAGAAGCTCAATTAGACGCGCACGTCACTCACGCACGTCACGCACCATCGCGAGCTCCTGAGTGTTTAAAACAAATAGACAACAAAGTCCGATGTAGAAAAACCCTGAGATATTCTGTGCAGAACCTTAGCCCCGCCCCCGCCCCGCCCCCCCGCCGGTGCAGCCTGTTGGCCACTAGAGGGCGCCCGCGCGCTGCGGCGTCGGTCTTAGTGTTTCTACCAAAGACAATCAGACTGCATTCAGGAGGCGGAACAAGAAGCTTTTACAAATGTTTTTTATGCTTTTTCTTACTTACGGGATTTCATGTAAAACAATGCAGATGTTTTTCTAGGATGTTTATTTCTGTTTATTCCCTGATACTTAACGTTTGGGCCTTGATCAAACGCTGCATGATTTTATGACCCTTTTATATGAATTGTTTCTTGCAGCAAAAGTCAATGTATTTTAAAATGTATTTTTGGCCATAACTGATGTGGTGAAAGCTGCTTCCAGTTTTAAACAACTTCATGGAAATTAGAACAATATTGGATTAAATACGTTTTTTTTCTCTCATTTCATATCTAATATTAAAGAGTATTGATGGTTCATGTAAGTCCCAATGTTATCAGAATGTTCTTTTTCTTTGCACTCACTCTGTGAAACCAGAGACAATCAAGCCCCAGCTTGTGGTGACGGAGGACGGCCATCTTTAGCTTGTTAATGATGGTGTAGAGGTCCCCTGGGGGGCTCTACGGCATGGTGGTGTGGTGGTTCTCCCCGTGTCTGCGTGGGTTCTCTCTAACTTGCCTGTGTGAGTGTGAATGGTTGTGTGTCTCTGTGTTGGCTGGTGACCCGTCCAGGATGAACCCGTCTATTGCCTGAAGTTGGCTGGACAGACTCCAGCCCCCCACGACCCCGTGAGCAGGATGAGCGGTTTGCAGATGGATGGAACAAACAAAACTATAGCAGACCTCGTGAATCAGGGTTTGGGTTAAAATGGTGAATACAATAATAATAAAATAAAATCATGAAAATAGAAATGAGCCACGGCTACTTTCAAGTTTGAATAAAACCTCAGAAGCATCACAGGTGCAGCTGCTCCACCGGGCGGAGCCACAAGAAACATTAAAGCACATTGGACTAGACCTCGACAAGTGGGCGGGGCTACAACTGTGTGTAATTGGTCAGTAATAGTTTACGAAAGATGACGTCATTTTTTGAGATTTGTAATCTCTTACCGATTTAGGATATTTACTTGATGTCTCAAACATACATAATCACAATGTTAGTGCTTTAAAAATTTAATTCCGTATGTTAATATCCTTAAATTTCAGCCGTCCAGCATCCTTTAATGATGCGCCTCCTCCTGCCTCT